CTCACCGTAGGTCTTTGCACACACAAATCAAAACTCTCTTAAGTCATGGAATTAACAAAAGAAAAGAGAAAAGCAAACAAAAGGACTTCCTGTGAGGTGAATGGAAAGTTGGCCCAGTTTGTTTGCCAGGCACATGAAAAGTAGTACTGAATCTTTAAAACCACAAGTAATTGCGTTCTTAACAATTTTCGAGAAGGTGGACGGGGTGTGGGAAGAATCACATATGGGGGGCTGGGGGTGGCCATTGACCTAAGGCATCATTTATATAGAAGCCAAATCTATTCCTCTTTATGTTCAGTTACCACCAAATGTCCTCAAGAGAAGCGTAGTGGTGTAAGGAAGCAAACAAGAATCCTATCAAATAAAAACAGACACGGGCAACAGGTGAACTCAATGAGGTCTTATGTACAGTAGATACTCGTGTATAAGCCGAGTTTTCCAGCACATTTTAACACAGTTTTTGTGGTAAAATTAGGTGCCTCGGCTGATTCGGGCTGGCTTATACTCGAGTATATATGGTGGACACATCAGACCTAAATTCCATTACAAAATCTTTTCCCTTCTTTCTTTCTTTCTTTTTTTTTTTAAAATATTTGGAATTTCCTCTAGGACATCTAGATGTACTGTTCTTTTTGCAAAACATGAAGCCCAATGAAGATGCTACCAGTAACTTATGGCCAGATAAATGATGATGAGTGTGAAGGTATTTCTTGAAAATTTGGAGTATGGACTTCCACGCTTCATTGTCTTGGTTTTCCCCTTGCTTGGCAACTTCTCAGTTGGATGATCCTGGGAAAGTTATGTAGCTTCTCTCTTTTCCCACAAAATGGGAGTAATACTTGGGTTTATCTCATAGGGTTTTTGAGGGAACTAAATGTCAGCACAGGGTCTGGGACATAGTTTGTATTCGATTAAAGTTAATCATTAGGCTCCTGCCCTGTGTCTTGCTCTGCGTTACTGCAGCTGAGTTTTAAAATATGTGGCAGCCTTTATCAATGGAAGGAAAAGCATGCTTAGTTCTAGAGCTAAGCCCTAATTAGGTCAAGAAAAATTAATGCTTCCCCGTTGCCCATCTGTGTGCTAAAGAGGGGCTCAGGACAACATTGATGCTGTCCAGGGGCAGAGCGGAATGGATGGAAATGGAAGGGGAGTGGAAGGAAATCAGGGTAGTGGGCTTCCAGCAGTTAGGGAGCTGTCTTTACTGGTCATGCAACTCAACCGTCCAGGAGATTTTTTTTTGCATCCAACATTGAATCCCAGGGTGCCTAAACAGAGGTGTTTAGGGGAAGACTCCTTGGGATCAAGCTCTAACTTGCCCTTCAGAAACCCTGGCACTGGTCAAGTCTCTCTGCTTGCTGTTTTATTGCTCCAGACTCTTCTGCTTCAGGACCCGGATATTTTGGATCGATACCTTGGTCGTACTGTCCAACCTTTGTGTGGTACTTCCATAATCTGGTGTCAATTTGGGACTTGAGAAGAATAAAGAGTGAAGGGGTGGAGTTTAGTCTATCAATTGGGTCATACCAATGAGGCCACTGTGTGGGCCAGGCCTTCCCCTGAGGATTCTGGGAACTCCTCTATTTCCTCCTTGGAGGTAGAGACACTCTTTCTCTGCTCACTCCCTGAAAGACTCTCTACTAACAAGATACATGGAACTACGCTAGTCCCCGGAACTAGAGCAGCCACATGGAGACCTCTTCCAGCGCTGAGATACTTACAGCCCCACTGGATCCACATGATTGCACCCACTGACTGACCTGCGATCTTCCTGCATTCGGCATTATTGCATGTGTTTCGTGAATCTGAAGAGGACTTTATAGATTGGTATTGGACATATGGGCTAATATTGCACTTATGGACTTGATCTGGACTGGGCTGGCATGTTTTCTCAATGTCCAGCTGCTCTTGTATATAAAGCTTTCTTATACACATATGAGTGTCTCAATGAATTTGTTTCTCTAGTCTACCCAGACTACCACACTTTGCTTCAGCCTTTCATCTGAATGCCCTCTCTGCTAACTGAGTGGGCCTGTCCCATCACAGCCTGGAAGCTGTGCCTGGGTCCCCATCCTGGAAGCTGATTTAGATGCCCAGGCAGCAGAATTCCTGGGACTTCACCAGAGTGAATCCACTTGCTTGGTTTCAAAGTGACAACTCTGGAACCTATTCGTCAAATCCTAGCACTGCTCCTAGATGACCTTGAGCCTAACCCTTGACCACTCTGTGCCTCAGTTTTCTTCAACTCCCAAATGGAGACAATGGTAGTTCCCACTTCATGGGCTTAACATAATTAAAGGAGTTCATATAGGCTTAAAACGATCTAAATATATTATATAATTAAATACATGTAAAACAATGCACATTCTATATTTTCTAAATTTATGACATTGTATAGCTACTGAAGGAGCCTTGGAGGTGTAGTGGTTATTCTTTGGGCTGCTGACTGCAAGCTCAGCATTTAAAACCCCCCAGCCACTCGGTGGGAGAAAGATGGGGCTTTCTATGCCCGTAAAGAGTTACAGTCTTGGAAACCCACAGGGGCAATTCTACCATGTGCTATAGAGCTACTGTGAGTCAACACCAACTCATTGACAGTGAGTTTCTTTTTTTTTAATAGATATTGAAAAATACTATAAATTTTTTTACATTTAACTTATACGTGGTTTGCATTAATTAGGATGTATCATTTCATAGAAAACATTTAAATTTATATAAACACAATAAGATTACTATAACTATTGACGTTCTCTAGTCTATCTCTCTTACAGGGATAGAGAGACTATAGGTGGGCTTTACAATTTCCTTGTTTTCATCTGAGGCTATAGGTTTTACTTGTTTAAAATTGACCCTACCATTTTGAAAGTGATCATCCATATTTAATGTTATGCAAGTTTTCTTTCTCAGAATCCTATATGGCTTGTCTTTCAGATGTCTTCATTTAAATTTATGCAGATTTTATTTCTTATGTTACTCTAAAAACCATAGAAATGTGTCCAAATAGACACATCTTGTGGGTAATTTTAGATCCTGTTATTCCCAATGATTATTGATTTAAAGATGTAGGGTGGTTCTGAAAAGAACAGATATTGTTTCTTTAATTTGTTTTCTTAGAATAGAACAAAGACACATTTTTTCTCTGACTTTCAAATCATCAACAATTCACAGCCAAGCAATCAGCCCCCGAGTCAATTCCGGCTCCCAGCAATCTTATAGGACAAAGTCAACCTGTCCCATAGGACTTCCAAGCTGCAATTAAGAGACACCGCCTCGAGGGGATGGTAAGCGTGACACACCAACCTCCACCAAACCACTTCCTTTCCAGAAACTAGAAAACAACCGAGAGCGAGTCTTCACTGTCAGCCAGAGCACCGAAGGAGGGCACTGAACCTGGTGCCAGCAAACATGAAGTCAGACGTCTGGTATTTCCTTTTCCTCTGCTTCCTAGTTGAAGTTCTAAACGGTAAGTGCCCTATTGGGTATGTCTTGTTGTTATAACTAAGGCGACGATTGAGAAAAATGAAAGGTAGAAGAATTAAGCACCAAATAAACCCCATTGCTCTTGAGTTGATGCTGACGTTTTGACAGGGTAGCTCTGCCCATAGGGTTTCCCAGGTAGTAAATCTTCATGGGAACAGATCGCCAATCTTTCCAACCACGGCACCAGCCAGGCTCCTTAAGAGAAATGGAGAGGAGGATGTTTCTGAAAGGTTGAACAACCGAGGAAGAGCCTAGATACACGGCTAAGGGTACTGCATCAACTGTGTAGCTGTCTATGCCCCACGTTTGCATGACTGACTTTGATATTACCTTTTAAGATGGAAAATAGTCTTTCATCAGACCATTAAATTTTTAAGTGCTTCTTGCAGTTACTTGTCAGGGGCTAAAGTAGAAGAGAGGGTTCTGTTCTCTGAGAAACATGAAAGGCAAAATGACTTGTGTCAACAGAATGGAAATGAGATCGTCTTGGCATTTGGGCTGTGATTTTTTTCTTTTCTTTTTCCTACAGGAGATAAAAAAATGAGAGGGCTTTGAAAAGAAAGATTTTTATTTCAATCTTACCTGGTTTTCTGTTGTCTGCAATGCCCAGGCAGTCATAGATAATTTATTTATGTGAAGTATCAGGTTTTCCTAAAAGGTGAAGGAGTAGAGGGTGATGTAAAAATATTTCCCATACAGTGGACATTAAACAAAACTTATTACAGGGCCCCTATTTCTTTCCCTAATGGAAGTAGATGTTACTATATATCCGATTCTATAGGGAGAATTTATATAATTCTACCAATAGCTTAAAAGCATGTGTTCCTTTTTACTCTGTACATTTTTGTATTGCTTTTATTTTCTCTTAGATTCTGAGCTAGGCTCGTGTGGTTGGAAAAGTAAAATGAAATGATATTAAATGGGGAAGTTCTATTACCGCTAAAAATAAAAAAGCAAGACGTTTAGAGGGTAAATTCCACTTAGAAATACAATTTATGGTGGAACAATGAAATAGGTTTTACCATTCTTTCCAAATTAACAAAAAATTTAACGCCATTTGATTAGATATTATTGGATTTTGCGATGGATCAAGATGACTAGCGTGCTCTTCAAAGGAAGGAGGAAGGAGGAATGAGGAATGAGGGGTCTGCTTGTAATAAGGTCTGAGAGCAGTTCGAGGCTACTAAAGTTACTTACTGGACTCTGCTTTGTCTACAACCTATAGAAATCCTTTAGCCATATGAACGTCATATGAACAATATTTCTGAATTGATACTCATACATTCATTCATTCCATCAAGTCATGTGGCATTAAGTACCTTTCTTATAGGAAGCACTGTGCTAGCTACTGTACTCACAATGATGAACAAAACTGCTCTCATGAACCTAAATAAAAGGTTAGGAGAGAGACATCAAACAACCCCACAAATTAATGATAGTTACGGGCAAATCTCAGTTCTATGAAAGAATAAAACAGAGGAATCATGCAAACTGGGTGTGTATGAGTGGGGAGGGGCCTCATCCAAGACTTTCCCAGGAAACAGAGATTGAGTTGAGATTTGAAGGACCAATCAGAGTCAATGGGACAAAGAACAGGAAGTGGGGGTGGGGAACAACTGTCCATGCCAAAGAGCAGGGACAGACAACAGACCTGTGGGGAGGCCAGGGTCTGAAAGAAGTCCACTGTGCCTGGACACAGCAAGGGACAAGGTTGGAGTGGTGCAGGCTGAGGCTGATATGAGAAGCAGAGGCATGACTGCATGAGTCTGAAAATGAAGAATTTTGGTTTTTCTTCCAAGGACAGTAGACAAGTCAATGAAGGGTTTGCGTTTATTGCTAAAAGCATGCCAATATGCCCAAACTCTTCGTATGACTATATTATACAGGAGACTTGAATTAACACTGGCATTACTTGTAGGAGACAATAAGTCCAGTAGATGAATGCAGTGTAATTCAAGAATGTCATTCATCTTAGACAGAAGAGAGAAAATCCAATGTTCACTCTTGTCAGTAGAAATTATCACTTTCCTCAGAAGGCACAGAGGCTACATGGTGTTAATAAGTATGAAAACAGTCACCATATTAAAAATACCATGATTTGCCAGCAACTGCCAGTTGAAAAGCTTAAAATGCAAGACAAACTGAACTCATGTAGTAACTTGCAGGTTTTTATTTTGTGTGTGTGTGTGTGTGTGCCATGTTTTAAATCCTTCCAAGTAGGAATTACCTACTAAGTATTCATCCACATATCCTACCATTCAATATTCCATCATATCAATAAGAGTTAAGCAATTACCACCACAGTCAATTCTAGAACATTTTCTTCTTCCTTGTACTCACTGTGATTCAGGTAATTTTTTTCTAATTGTGGCAAAAACATACATAGCAAAACATTCTCCAGTTCCACAACTTCCACATGTGCAATTCAGTGCCATCGGTTATACTCTTCGTGATGGACAACCCTGATCGATGTCCTCTTCCAAATGATCGCACCACGAAACTCAACGTCCCCTAAGCAACACTTCCTTCCCCTTCACCCATGGTAAGCATTGGTCTAGTTTGGTTTCTCTCTCTTTTTTAATTTCTTCTCATCATAAAAGAAGATCTGGGAAAAAGTCAAACCTCTAATTGCAATTAGTGGTCATGTTTTCTTGACCTTAGAGGCAATGAGTATCGTGGAGAGACTGGATAAAGTCTAAGTTTAGAAAGATGGCTCTGAAGACAGTGGAGAGAAGGTACCAGAGGGAGAATGGTGGTGTGAGGGGTGTGGCCTTATGACGGGTTCTGTAAGGAAGCTGGGAGGAGACCCCTCATGTCTCTTTGACTTTGGCTTTGTAACCCAGGCAATGCCTCCATCTCAGACCATTTGGTGTCTCTGGCACCTACTTCTCTCTGAGACTTGGAAGATGAAGTTGAGTTACTGAGCATCTCTCAGCCTCTCCAAGACCGGAGACCTCATCTCCAGTCTCCCTCCCAGGACTCATGCTGGAATTTTGGAGTTCAAAACTGTCAATCCCTTTTTTTATAAGCAAATGTAGGACACTTCCATTAAGTATAACAATGCTGTATTTGATTTTATCCCTTCTTTTAAAAATATATTATTAATTGGGAGTTAAGATGTATATCATATCATTCCATCATCAATCACATCAAGCAGAGTTGCACAATTGCTACCACAATCAGTTTCAAAATATTTTTTTTCTTCCTGGACTCCTTGACATTGTCTCCCTTTTACCGCCTCCACCCTCACCAGTATACCCCCTCCCCACAAAACTTGCTGGTCCTATAAGTTCATAATCCTGGATTTCATATACCAAAACACAGAAACATATATAACGTAATTATTAGGATGTATCTCAGACATGCTATGTCATTGGAGGTCACCCTCATAAAAAAATTCTTAACAAATTTCTCAATGCCTGTTCTTTTAGTTTCCCCACCTGGGGAAGAGAGTTGGGCTCCCTAAAGTGCATGTGATTTTGCAATGGAATGACTTGTAACTTCTTTGAAAATTAATGACTGTGAATATTGCAACATTTTATAATACCTCTGGAATTTTCCTATTTCTACAAAGAAAACCAGTTTTTTACTGTGGAAAAAAAAAGTACTTCTCATTTGCCGCACTCACTTAAAGAATCAGGAGTTGTTTTATCCCCTCTATGGGATTCCCCAGTGAATAAAAGAAAATCCACACATTGCATACATAGACATGCAAACATGTGCCCCTTTGGCCTTCTGGCTTCTCTTTTCTGTTCTTCCTCACATGTTTTTAGGGTTTTTCTCCTGAAAAACATTAATGATTTATATAGGAGTGTGTTTATTTTGCCTGCTTCCTCTTGCTCATCCCAATCGCTTCTTTAGATTACGATGCTTTGATGAGTGCTGCCAACACCAGGGTAAGTGAAAAAATATTAGTACAAAACCACAGACACCGCTCTTAAACAAGACTATAAAAACGTGCACCCCTTGCTTCACTGCACATCCTCCACACAGGCTTACAGGCTTCTGACCGTGGTGTTTCCACATCTCCACCTTTAACATTTGTTTTTGAAGAAGTCTGTGCTCTTCAGGCCCCATGATGTTGAACTGATAGTTTTTGACATCCTTCGGGCTTGGGGAAGGAGCAGCTCTGGTTGTCTAGTGGTTGGTTACGGTTGGGCTGCCATCCAATCCGCAAGGCAGCAGGCAGTTTGGAATCAGCATCAGCATCACACCCACAGGAAAAGACAGGGCATCTACTCCCGTCAACAGTTACCGACTTGGAAAGGCAGAGGGGCAGTGCTATTGTGTCCAATTGGGCCGCTAGGAATTGGCATCGATTTGATGACAGTGGGCTTGCTTGTTCTGAGGAACAGAAAGAAATCTGAAGGGACAAGATCAGGGTTTTATGTTGAGTCGAGCAAGATTTCCCAGGAAATTCTCATAGGGCAGCCATGGAATAAGCACGTGCGTTGTCAGGATGATGGGGAATCCTTGGCACCAACTTGCTGGCCTTTCTGTCATCAATTCAAATCTTAATTTTCTTAAACTATCTTTGTAATAAGTTCCATCATCATCCTGTGCCTGGAATCCCAAGAAAGCGATTACCACAAACTTCTGAGCTGACCTTTCTCCCTGGAATTTCACCGGCCCGGCAGATCCCCTCCAAAGCCAGTTTTGATTGGTCTTTTATTTTTATGATGCATCCGAAAGAGACTGAGGTGAGGGTGTTGCAGTGAGTCTTCATCTGTAGCCATCCAAGGATCAAGGGACATGTCCCCATGCTTCAGAATTGGAACTCTCGGAGCAATACTTTTTGACTACCTCTCTATAGGCAAGATGCATGTATAAAATCTACTGATCGGGACTCAACTGTTATAGCTTTCAAAAGTTGGGGGGGGAAAGCAGTATGAGGATCTTAGACATACACCAGAACTTTTTAGTAAAAGATCAGATGTAAGCTAACATCTACTCTACACACATTGCAATCTTTAGAATTTAGCC